CCTGGTCTTAGCTCCGACCCCACCCCACTTTCCACAGCCCCGATCCCTCCTGCAGTAATATGTCCTCCTCTAGCGTGCACTGCCATGGTGACTCAGGAGCTCGGCCCCCCTGAGGAGAGGGAGGCAGAGCAGATAGGGGGAGGAGATAAAGTACAGGTAGAGGATCCTCCCCCTGCCTCCTCTTCCTCTTCCTCCCTGGACTCCTCCCACTCAGAGTGCAGCTCCACAGAGACCTTTGACCTTCCCCCTCCTGGAGACCCGCCCTCCTCCTCCTCCTCCTCCTCCTTAGGACCTCGGTGCCCCTCGTCTTCCTCCCACACACCCCCTCCCCTCAGAGCCGAGTGTGAAGAGATGCAAGCGGGCGCAGAGGAGGAGGATGAGGAGGGCGCTGAATTTAAGAGGCGTCGGAAGTCCTCCACCTCGTCCTCCTCATCCTCGTCTTCTTCGTCCTCCTCCGTCTTCTCGAAGCTCGTTTCCAAATGTTCACTCCCTGACGGTCGCACCGTGTGCGTCGGCGACATTGTGTGGGCAAAGATCTACGGCTTCCCCTGGTGGCCGGCACGCATCCTCGGCATCACGGTTGCACGGCGTGGTGATACGGGGCTGGCTGTGCGGCAGGAGGCCCGCGTCTCCTGGTTCGGCTCCCCAACTACTTCTTTCCTGCCACTCGGTCAGCTGTCGCCCTTCCTCGAGAGCTTTCAGTCACGCTTTGACAGGAAGAGGAAAGGGCCGTACCGCAGGGCCATAGCTGAAGCCGCCAGTGCCGCCAAACAGCTGACACCTGAAGTCAGAGCGCTGCTCACACAGTTTGAGACGTAGCATGAGCTGTCTTGTTGAAGCGCCCCTCCCCCTCCCCACCGCTCCAGATACGCCCCGCCCCCCAGACAAGCACCCTCACACACATCTAGACTGACAACTGTCTGTGGTCAGACACAGACAGACTGACAATGTTTTCTGTTTCTTATTCTGTTTCCTGTTTTGAGGGGCGGAGCTTCTGATTAACCTGTCAGTGTTCAGTGGGGCAGTGGGCGGGGCTAGTTTTAGACAGGTGTCAGCCAGCAGCGAAGGTTCCACTCTCCATCACTTTCACGACATAACATTTCCATCAGTTTACTGACTCTGATTATGTCATATTGATGTCAACTGACTGTATGTTGATACCCAAGTGCATTCTGGGTAACTTCAGATTCATTCTTTCAGCCTGACAGTTGATTGGCTGACAGTGCTCACTGATCATGATCATGTCACACATCTACAGCATCAGTTATGTTATCCTCTGATTAGCTTAGCTAAGCAATGTTAGTCTTATTATCATTGCTAAGCTCAGCTAACATGCTAAGCTAGGCTTTCAGTTCTTTTTTTATGATATTTCTCACTCCGGAATCAAACCAAGAAAACCCGTTGTTCTGGTTCGATCGTCGTCCGTGTTTGTTTGTTTGTGTGTTTTGTGCATGGCGGCACTGTGGAACATAGTGCCTCGCTGATGTGTCACTTCCTGTTGTTCCTCTGGTTCTGATGAGGAATTAACTTTTTTCTAAACTGTGAAAACAAAGTGTTGTTCAAACTGAGGCCGGGGTCCCACACAGGGTCCAGATGTGAGCCATGTTTTGATCCTCAGACGCTGATCAGTTATATCAATCGATTAAACAAAAACACAAATCTGAAGCTTAGAGATGTTTTATTTAGACAATGTAGTGATGTCTCACTCTGTTTGAGACTCTGTGCCTCAGTTTGTCCACAAGATGCTGACAGGTAGGACAGGTAGGACACACTGACTGTTAGACAGCTGCTCTGCTCTCATGATGATGAAGGTGGATTTTCCCTCTCTGCTGTTTGTAGTTTCAGCTGTCAGACTCTTTTTACCGTCTGTTTGCAGATCAGAGATCCTGAACTAAAATTGTTGGGACAAAATAACAGAAACCTGTGTACATGTTCTTTTTCTCATGTTTTAAATCTATTAAAAAACTGTCAAACTTCTCTCTGAATCGTCGTCATTTGAACTCTTTCTTCTTCTGTGGTGGGTTCTGTCAGATTCACAGTGGAAAAATGGCTGTCAGATCTTCTTACCTGCAAACAGATGTTTGGTAAATGGGTCCTTGAGCTGTTTCTATCCAAAATACCAGCAACAACGTTTACTTTTTCTCTTCAGTCAGAAACTTTTAAACCATTAAAGACTCAAAAGAGAAGTGAAATTATTCAAAAAGAATACGATTTCAACTTCACACAACATGTTGCTGATTTTAGGTAGACACATCTCTGATAACGAGAGTGGGAAAAAACCAGCAGCTACTGACTAAATACTGAGATATACATTAGGCACTGTTTAAATACTGAGTTGTATACGGTTTATATTTATATATACCGTATATATATATTTATGTAACCTATACTGGGTTACATGTTAGGTACTGACTAAATACTGGGATATACATTAGGTACTGTGTAAGTAGATTATCAAGTGAAAGGAACTGAAGCACATTGAATCTATGCAGCATTAAGTAATATGAATAATTAAATTGTGTTTCTGAGGACGTCATCAAAGGATCTAATCACAGACAGGTCATCGTGATGTGACATCACTGACCTTGTTATGTCATCACAAACAGCTGAACATGAACTTTGTTATCACAGTTAATTTAGTAGACAGGAAGTGATCTTTGATTTCTACTGATGACATCATCAATGACATTCTCTCTCTCTCTCTCTCTCTCTCTCTAGCACAACTCTGAAGAGCTGCTGACACTCAGAATGAAGCTCTGATTGGCTGAGGTGCAGTGGGCGGAGTCAGATCAACTGACGATCAATCACATGGACGGATATTTATTTAAATAAAGTTTATATTTAAAAAAAACAAAACAGGAAACAAATCCATCAGTTTTAATCAATGAAAGTGTCAATGGAAACCAGACTCAGACATCACTTGATTTATCGTCCAATCAGAAATCAGATCATTAATCACTTACCAATCAACTCACATATTTACATTTCAGTGTTTTTCACCTGGTGACCTCACGACTATCTCTCCGATGTCCACCTGCAACATAGAGTCAGGGCATGTTAGCATAGCTGAGCACAAAAATAAACAGGAGAAACTGTTAGCATAGCTTAGCAATAAAACACAAACTGGGGAAACTGTTAGCATAGCTTAGTAAAAAATTGCATTGGAAGGAATCTGTTAGCATAGCTTTTGACAGTGTGATAAAAGCTCCCAAAAACCAGCTAGCAGCCCACAGGGCTGTTTCCTTCACTAACAGGAAGTTAGTAAAGGTCTTATTTGAGTGTGTTAGTGTTAGCATTAGCTCTTATTGTGAGAACATTCAAACACAATGCTAACTAGCCTGTAGCTCCTGTATGTCGTTAGGGAGGGGCTTCAATAAGTTTATTGGTTATTATTTCAGGTATAGAAACAGAACTGGCAGCTCTTACCTTTCCAGGTACTTTTTATCCCTCTCCAGCTGTTGATATATAAAATACAAATTAAACATGAAAACGAGGCTCATGGTTTTTATTCCACTGGTTTGAAATTAAATTTATTTTCAGATTTAAAAATGTATGAGAAAAAAAATAAGTTCAGTTTGTAAAAACCTGCAGATAAAATAATCTCCCACCTGATCCAACACACCTGGGGCCCGTTTCTGAAAGAAGGTTCAACAAACCCTCAGTCTAACCCTGAGCTCTGAGTTGATTTACTCTCAGATGGGAAACTCTGAGTTTTCGGTTCCAGATCAGCAGATTTCAAAAGGAGAGAAAAGTGGTGTAAGAGATTCAGAGGTAAAGTTACCTCTCCCTCTGGAACGGGCTGGAGTTACCCCTCTTTCTCGGGTTTGAGTGACTTCCCCCTCTGAAATGGATACCCATAGTTTCCCTCATTTCAGGGTTAACGGACTCAGAGTTTGCACAAAACCTTCTTTCAGAAACGGGCCCCTGATCCATCACACCTGATCAACACACCTGATCAACAGGGCATGTAGAGGGTGTGTAGAGGGCGGAACATGGGGCTAATCTACGTGTGCACATTTCCAGGTGGATCGTGATAAACAAAGGGAACATTTCCTGCAGGTGTGCGTACGAACAGTTTTATGGTTTTATAAATCTGAATTATTTTGTGCGCACGCCATTTCCGGGTTTTTGGCGCACCACACTTTTAGAATGGATTCTATGCACTCTTTTATAAATGACACCCCTGAACTGATTTATGAACTGATTTTAAACTGGTCTGAACTGGTTTATAAACTTGTTTAAACTGGTCTATCCTGGTTTCAAATGGTCTCAACTGGTTCTCTGAAGAATCTTTAAGGTCACTCCGTCCTCCATCAAAATGATGAAAAAGTGTGACAAGAAACAGAAAACATGAATTGAAGTTGTTACCTGTGTTTAAATGAAATTAAAAGGCTGCATGAGTGAAACACGTGTCCTGTTTGTGTTTAATTTTGATCACTGAGCAGAGACGTATGCTGAAGTTTTAAATTAGACAAACTTAAAACATCAAACATCAAAGTGATGAAAAAAACCAAAAAACACCATGATGACGCATGTGGAGATCACCTGACATCTGAACTCACCAGAGTCACAAACAGCCTTAACAGGGAGTGGTGACCTGAGCATACCTGTGGACAGGAAGTGAATAACCGTTATCTCTATCAAACAGGTGAGCAGGTGCTTACCTGAAAAACATCTTAAAACCGCTGAATGAGTACAATCAACAGGTAATAATCAATAACCAGGGTCAACCTGACCTCAAACTGCTGTTTGAGTGAGTCAACTGAACAGGTGAGAAGTTTCTGTCACATGTTGCTGTGTGCGTGTGAGTTCGTGTACGTGTACGTGTGTGTGTGTGTGTGTGTGTGTGTGTGTGTGTGTGTGTGTGTGTGTGTGTGTGTGTGTGTGTGTGTGTGTGTGTGTGTGTGTGTGTGTGTGTTAATAATCTGCGGTTAATCTCTGTGGACTTTCACCTGGAACACTCTCTCTCTCTTTCCCTCTCCCTCTCCCTCACTCTCCCTCTCTCTCCATCTAACATTGAGTCCATCTAACTCTCTCTCTCTCTTCAGTATTAGGGGCTCAATCGTCCTAGAAGTCAGACATGGAGGAAGACTGTAAGGTAAATGATTATTATTTATTAATTGAATATTGTGTTTGAAATATCTTAAAGTCTTTGTAGGTCATTTTGTCTGGACTGAACAGAAGGTAAATATCACATAATTATCAAAATTCACAAATAACAAGACGACAGTACCACAGCACGGATCCACATCTATGTTGATTGATCATAGCGTTCTGTGGAAGATGATCAGTCTGCTAACCAGACGAGCAAAGTTGTCATGTTGTGATTCATAATACTCTCTAATAATCTCTGATATCTATTAATACTGTCTCACACCACAGGTAACTACTTTTACTTCTATTCAACAACAATGTTTTTAATCAATCAATCATCACATTTTTTAATATAGCGCCAAATCTCAACAAAACTTAACGGGGACATTTTCCATAGAGAGCAGGTGTAGAGTGTCATCTTTGTCATATTATCCAAAAAGACCTGACATTAATCCACCATGATACAGCGCTGCATACAGAGAGAGAGAAAGGGAGAGATAGGAGCTCAAGGTGCTAGTTCCCCTGGTAGTCTAAGTCTCTAACAGTTTAACTAGGATCTGATCCCTACCTCTGCCTGCCCCTAACTATAAGCTTTATCAATAAGGAAAGTTGTAAGTCTAACTGAAGGCTCTACCTCCCATAGTATATTTAGGGTACACTCACACTAGGAAATCTGTACCGTGCCCAAGCACCCCCTTTGACCCCTTGAGTGCTCCAATTCGTGCTTAGGCATGCTACACTTCCTCGGCCCTGGCACGCTTCAAAGAGGTGTATTTCAGCATGGTACAGTTCATGCACGAGCACAATCATGGGTCCACAACGCTGACAGGCTTCATTCAGGAGAAACCCCGGAGTGTTCTGTCAGTATCTGACTAACATGACTCAGAATAAGACACAAAGTCAGTAAAGGAGCTGTCATGTTCTCTGAGTTGTTCTCCGATGCACAGACGCGGACCCGACAGCGCCTCTTTTTTTTTACTTCTTTTTTCTCTCTCTTGAGTCCGCCCTGATGAAAGAGAATTACAGTATTCTATGGAGTTAGATCAGTCTCAATATTCACAAATGCACACAGAAGGATTCACAAATGTATTTCAATGCACACACAAATATATTTAATTCTATATAAATGTAAAACAAATCCACAAATAAAAAAATAAGATTCACAAATGTATTTCTGATTCACACACAAATATTTATAGTTTTGTATATCTGTAATAGAAATCCACAAATATATAAACTGTTCAGTCTGCATTTACTTTGCAGATGCCTGGTCTGGTTGTAAACGTCATAACGATAGTAAACAATGGGTCCTTCAAAAGCCCCAACACATCGGTTGGAATATCACGAGTTTATTCAACACCAGTTAAACCAACGAAACGCAATCAATATAGCCACCACGATAAACAACTTTCCATGTATAGTACGACAATCACAGAGACTATTTGTGCTGGTCAGATTAAAGATGACTTAATCAGATTGTCTGATAGCTAAGCTAATCGCTGTATGCGCAGATGCAACGCTAAAGTGATCACATTAACTCATACCCTTGAATCTACGCTGCTGTGATTGGCTGAATAGGACGGAGACATCTGATTGGCTACAGACATTTCCCTGCTGAAAAAAATGCATTTGTGAATCTAACCACGGCAGAGGAGTCTCAAAAGTCACACACACAAATGCAGTGAGGTTCACAAATGACAAACAGTTTGTAAATGCAGACTGAACAGTTTATATCTTTGTGGATTTCTATTACATATATACAAAACTATAAATATTTGTGTGTGAATCAGAAATACATTTGTGAATCCTTCTGTGTGCATTTGTGAATATTGAGAATGATCTAACTCCATATTATTCCAACCTGGAGGAAATAAATGTGTGAACTAGTTTTTCTGCATCGTTTTGCGACAAGATATGCCCGATCTTAGATATATTACGAAGGTGAAAATAGGCTGTCCTTGAAAAGTGTTTTATGTGAGAGTTAAAGGACATGTCTTGATCAAATAGAACTCCTAGATTCCTAACAGTGGTGCTAGATGCCAGGCTGATGTCATTAAGGATAGTTATATCATTAGAAAAAGTTTCTCTGAGGTTTAGGGCCTAGCACAATAACTTCAGTCTTCTCTGAGTTAAGTAGCTAAACATTTCTGGTCATCCAGGTCCTAACGTCCTTAAGGCACGTTCTAGTTTACATAACTAGCACTGCATGGCTAACTTTGGTGTGCATAGAGGACTTATCATTAACATGTACAAACTGAGATCGATCTGATAAATAGGATTCAAACCAACTTAAGGCAGTCCCTGTAATTTCAAGTAATTATTCTGGTCTGTGTAATAGGATTTAATGGTCAATAGTGTCAAATTCAGCTCTAACAAGACGAGCACAGAGAGAAGTCCCCTGTCTGAGGCTAGAAGTAGATTTGTAACTTTAACTAGTGCAGTCTCAGTGCTATGGTGGACTCTAAATCAGCCATACTCTAAATTAGGTATGTCTTGGTATTCTCTAGTTGTTATTTGCATTTTATTTTCAATTTCTATGTAGATTTACCTGATCAGGTCTGTGTCCACTTAGACTCAAGATTACCTGGCAGGGGGCAAAGCCGCAAGACAGGCAGACTCGGCCTTCCAATAGAAGAAGACAATACAAATAAAGAGCCAATAGGATCCCATCACGCAGAGTCAGACATGATTTACACCATTGAAGATGTCCCACCCTGGTACCTGTGTATACTCCTGGGACTACAGGTAAATATGGAATTACACTGGGATCACAGTAGTTTAATAATGTGTGTCCTTAAACTGGTTATAGACTGGTTAATTATAGCAGTGACTGTGTTTAAACTGGTTATAGACAGTTGTTATATGTTAGTCTGTATTTTCATGAATTCATTCATCTTGATAATTTTGTGGATATATCTTTAAATTGTGTCAACCATCTCAGAGTAATTCTTCTTTTAGGTTTGTGAAGCTGTAATACATATGTGTACGAAACCGCATAGCAGCAGAGTTATATTTGGGTTGGAGCCAAGTGTCTATTGCTGAAAAGGAAATGTGACTCTAACTGAAGAAATGTATATGTCTGATATTTAAGAGTCAAGGTGATGCCTTCTTTCTAGCCTTTTAGAGACGAACCGAAGCAGCCATGAATTTGTGGGCTGTACCTTTTAACATAATATAAGCAACACTGTGAAGATGAAGACTTTGCCACTTTGCCCATGATGGCCACTTTGCCAATGATTGTGTGATCTTGGTCAGCATGGGTCAGCGATGGTCCGCACTTTGTCAGCCATGTGTGTTGTGTTTCTGTGTTGTCTGACCATGGCTGAATAAATCTAAGATAATCCACAGTCTGTTTCACGATTTCATCATTGTCCATTTAATACAGAAACAACCCCCACCTAACAACAGTATCGACTGAGCTGGCTGGTTTGGGGTCTGACTGTCAGGACAATAATAAGTTGGTCTATAGTGAAAACATCCTTTTTGTCTTTCTGTGAATTCTCTTTGAACAGTCTTGTCTTCGGTGAATCATGACTCATCAGGTGAATCATCAGGTTAATTGTGACTCATCAGGTGAATCATGACTCATCAGGTGAATCATCAGGTTAATTGTGACTCATCAGGTGAATCATCAGGTAATCATGACTCATCAGGTGAGTCATGACTCATCAGGTTTAGACAGTAGTCGGAGAGCCATTTTATTGTTTTATATTTGAATGCTCAAAGACCCAAAAACGTAAAGACAAATCTGGCCTGCGAGCAATTTCTATTTTCAATCATGTTTCTGAGTTTTCTCACCTGTTTCCTGTCCTCTTGTGTCTTCAGCATTACCTCACCTGTTTTAGTGGGACAGTGGCGGTGCCATTTCTACTGGCGGAGGCCATGTGTGTCGGTCAAGACCAAAACACCATCAGTCAACTGATCGGTACAATTTTCACCACTGTTGGACTCACAACTCTGATCCAGACCACTGTGGGAGTCAGGTGAGTCTGTGAGACAGGTGAACATGGTTAGTCAGGTGAGTCTGTGAAACAGGCGAGTAAGGTGAGTCTGTGAGACAGGTGAACATGGTTAGTCAGGTGAGTCTGTGAAACAGGCGAGTAGGTGAGTCTGTGAGACAGGTGAGTCTGTGAGACAGGTGAGTCTGTGAGACAGGTAGGTCTGTGAGACAGGTGAGTCAGGTGAGTCTGTGAGTCAGGTGAGTCTGTGAGACAGGTGAGTCAGGTGAGTCTGTGAGTCAGGTGAGTCTGTGAGTAAGGTGAGTCTGTGAGACAGGTGGGTCTGTGAGACAGGTGAGTCTGTGAGTCAGGTGAGTCTGTGAGACAGGTGAGCCTGTGAGTCAGGTGAGTCTTTGAGACTTACAACTATTTGTGTGTGTGTGTGTGTGTGTGTGTGTGTGTGTGTGTGCGTGCGTGCGTGCGCATGCGTGTGTGCGTGTGTGCGTGTGTGCGTGTGTGTGTGTGTTTGTTTGTTTAGACTTCCTTTGTTTCAGGCCAGTGCGTTAGCGTTCCTGATTCCTGCTCAGGCCATCCTCAGTCTAGACCGCTGGAAGTGTCCCAGTGAGGGTGAGATTGTCTGTCTGTCTGTCCACCCGTCTGTCTGTCCACCCGTCTGTCTGTCTGCTTTTCTGTCAGCTATGTGGAAATAACTAAACATCAAGATGATGATGTCACACCATATATTATGATGTCAGAGTAATTTTTTGTTTCTTACAGAGGAGGTTTATGGGAACTGGAGTCTCCCACTGAACACCTCACACATCTGGCAGCCGCGCATCAGAGAGGTACGTCATCATGATTACTTTGATTATTTTATGAAAACGGGGGATAATTAAAGGTTTACAGGTGATTAATAAGACTTCAGTCCAGGTGAACAGAATCACTGTAGCAGTCTTATGTGTTGGATCACCCTAAATCCAGGCGTACACGGTTCGATTTCGACTTTGACAAACTGACAAAACTAAGTCAGTTAGTTCTAGACTGCCATGTATCGATGTGTTTGTGTATTCAGATCCAGGGTGCCATCATTGTGTCCAGTGTGGTGGAGCTGCTGATTGGTCTGTGTGGGTTGCCAGGTTTACTGCTGACGTACATCGGCCCTCTGACCATCACTCCCACCGTATCCCTGATCGGCCTATCAGTGTTCAGCACCGCCGCAGACCGGGCTGGCTCCCATTGGGGCGTGTCGGCACTGTGAGACACCTGCCTGTCTGCACACTTGTCTACCTGTCTACACTCCTTTCTGTCTCGCTCTCTCACCTTCTGACTGCCTGTCTGCCTGAACACCTGTCTGTCTATCTGCAGGTGTATTTTGCTCATCGTGCTGTTTGCTCAATACCTGAGGACAACATCACTTCCTGTTCCCGTTTACAGCTGGAAGAAGGGCCTGACCACCACACGAGTCCAGATCTTCAGATTGTTTCCTGTAAATAAAAAACACATACAACAAACAGGCGATGATATCAGCAATGATGTCATTTGAACGTGTCCTTTTCTGAGGTTACATCATAACTTCTCTGATGGTATCTGATGGGCAGAGAGATGCAGTCAGTCAGGATCCTACCTGTGCTACACCTTTATGACCTAGAGAGGTTCTAGTGTCAGGAATCAAATATGATTTGTCAGGTGTCAGATATTAGGCATCAGTGTCAGTTGTCAGGTTTCAGGTGTCAGGTATCCAGTGTCAGGTATCAGGTGTCAGGTACCCAGTGTCAGGTATCCAGTGTCAGGTATCTGGTGTCAGGTATCCAGTGTCAGGGATACGGTGTCAGGTATCCAGTGTCAGGTATCCAGTGTCAGGTATCAGGTGTCAGGTACCCAGTGTCAGGTATCCAGTGTCAGGTATCTGGTGTCAGGTATCAGGTGTCAGCTATCTGGTGTCAGTTTGTGATGTATTTTTAACAAACAAAAACTGTTAATACAAAGCATCAGCAATGTCTTCCTCTTTAGATTATTCTCGCCATCATGCTGGTCTGGCTGGTCTGCTACGTCCTCACTCTAACCAACCTGTTGCCAAGCGACCCTAATCGCTATGGACACAAGGCACGGACAGACGCCCGCGGTAACATCATGACTTCATCACCCTGGTTCAGAATACCCTACCCCTGTAAGACCCTGTCATTAAATCATTCAATAAATCAATTATTCAATCAATCAATCAATCAATCAATCAATCAATCAATCAATCAACAACCAACCAATGGGAGGTGCCGAAAGCCTAGAGGTTATGTAGGGCACCCCATTTACAGAGGCTGTAGTACCCTTCGCAGCGACTGTGGGTTCGAATCTGACCTCGGCCGTTTGCTGCATGTCTTCCACTACTCACTCCTCCAAACATTTAAATTTAAATTTGAAATTTTTATTGGAGGGATAGCCCCTTGAGATGCACCATCTTGTTTTCAAGGGGGTTTTCTGTCTCTCTTCAGCTTTCCTATCCAATAAAGGCAAAAGGCCGAAAAAAACAACAACCAACCAACCAATCAATGATTCAACCAATCAATCAACCAATCAATCAATCAATCAATCAATCAATCAATCAATCAATCAATCAATCAATCAATCAATCAATCAATCAATCAATCAATCAATCAATTCCCAATGAATCAACCAACCAATGAATCAATCAACCAATCAATGAATCAATCATTCAATGAATAAATGAATTGATCTTAAAATTCACATGACGAGTCAGTGGCTGTGTCTGAAATCACTCCCTATTTACTATACAGTAAACATGCCATTTTGTATTGCTGTCCAAATTCTGAGTGAGCAATCTGAATTCTATCCAAGCAACATGTATACATCATGCATTGTGGTTCAAAGATATTGAGGAGTGGAGAGTTGCGTTCGACTCGGCTGCTCTGAGAGGAGAGGAGAGGCGCGACCAGCGAGAACACAGAACCACAATAAAGTTTATATTTGGAGCGTTTTGACTGAAATCTATAATCAGTTTTGATAAAGAATCAAAGATCACTTTAGTAACGGTAGTTTGTCCTAATGATGATGACAGACAAGAAACCAGAGTCTGTGAGCATTAATAATTTAGTTTTGGTCCGAAATATGTCTCATTATGTAAAATTCAATATTTTATAAGTATTTATTATTTGTAAATGTTTCATGAAAATACACTCAGTATAATATGAGTTATCATGGAAATTCATTTTGTTATTTACTGTTGTTATTGATCCTTGGCCGTTGCTAAGCTGCGCGTTTCAGTTGCGCGACAACAATGATGTCACTGTCAGCTGCCGGTGAGTGAGCGAGTAGTGTCCGAAATGTTTTTTAATTTTGCTGAGTGAGTGCACTATATAGTCCACTGCATTAAACTCACTATATAGTGAATAGGGAGTAGGGAATGAGTGAGTGATTTCGGACACAGCCAATGAGTTTACAGACTGATTAGTGGCATACCGACTTCCTGTCTCTGCTCTCATAGGCCAATGGGGGTTGCCGATGGTAACGGTTGCCGGAGTGCTAGGAATGCTGAGTGCAACCATGGCAGGTATTGTGGAGTCAATTGGTGATTACTACGCCTGTGCTCGTCTGTCTGGAGCTACGCCTCCTCCAGTCCATGCCATTAACAGGTAGAACAGGAAGTGAACAGGATGAAATGTTTTCTTACCTGACAGGCTCCTCCCACCCAGGTGTTTAAAGTTTTCTGCTTATTTCAGGGGAATTTTCACTGAGGGTGTCTGCTGCATTATTGCTGGGCTTTTAGGGACCGGAAATGGCTCCACCTCCTCCAGTCCAAATATAGGCGTCCTAGGCATTACCAAGGTAAATGAAGCCACACCCACCTGTGACAGGTTTTTACGGTGCGTAGAAAACTCGTTGGAGTTAAATGCAAGGGGATTTCTCGCTGATTGAATGGCTATTTTCTGATCATAATGCATCATGAACATCTGATTTCTGCAACTCTTTACCAAATTTCTGACACTAATTTGCAGAGCTCTCCAAATCTGTGCACAAATACTGAGAGCTCTTCATAGTCCCTTTACCTCTGCAACTCATTGCAAGACCTATGCTACTATTCCTTGGAGCTCAGCAACTAGTCTCTTTTCATAAGAATCTTTACCCTTTTATTCTGCATCTAGTCCCTTGACCTGTGCGCTTAGTCCCTTATTCCTGCAACCACACCCCACATTTTCATGAGCTATGTAACTCCTATCTAAACCTTGTTCCTATGTCTGTTCGACTTCCTTTTTACCTCTCTGACTAGTTTTTTAACCTCAAGTATTTCCCAGACTGCTTAGAATAGCCCCTTCATCTCAGCAACTGGTCTCCAGACTGCTTTTACTCATTCCCAAACCCTTGACACTAGTTCCTTTATATCTGCAACTCGTGGTCCCACAATTGCAATTATACCAAAGACTTGTGCAATTTCCCCCTTAAGGCCCTGACACACCAAGAAGACCGTCGGCCGTCGGTCTGTCGGTGAGCGGTCGCCCACCTAGTTTTTGCGGTCTGTCCAGCTCCGTTGCTACCAGTCGGCTCCAGTTGGCCTTTTTTGGGAGACTCTACATGTTGAATCTGAGGAGCTGTCACTGTTGGGGGTAGTAATCTCTCTGATTGGCTGTTCAGCTAAGCGAAACAGGAGAGCCAGTGCACGAGAAGAAATACGGGAGTACCTCTTCTATTCTTGCTCCACTAAAAAAAGACCAAGGGCTGACAACGCAAGCGCCATTTTCAACTACCGGTATTTAACGGACATTATTCTCCATTAGAAGTACCTATATTACGAGTGTTGAGCGACAGCGGTGAGAAAATCGTCTTCTCATATCATAACTACGGTTTATTTATTCACCTTCTTCCTCGTCCTCTTCCGCTCTCCCCTTTTTGGAATGACGATTACAGACTACCGCTGCCTGCTGGCATGGAGAGTTATTCCCTTGCGCCTGCGCAGAACGTCCATGGTTGTTTGGCCGTTGACTGCAGTCTTTGCGGTGTGTTCTAGTGCAACTTTTTGGCCAAGACAAAAGGTGTTGCCTGCCGACGCAACAAGTGGCCTTCCAGTTCTTGGCAGTCTGCTTGGTGTGTCAGGGCCTTTAGGTATGCAATCAGTCATCATTCCTCTGCATCTGATCCCAAACCCTACTTCTCTATTGGTGGTTGACTACAGAGCATGGGGAAAATGGCCGTTCAGCTGATCATCACTCCTGAAAAAACTCTTGACACTTCACTCGCAATGATTCTCTTCAAAAGTGTTTATTGTTCCACCAACATTCTCCGTTGTCAGTAGCTGATCCTGATGTTTGATTTGTTGACCCTATGTGCAGGTGGGCAGCAGGCGGGTGGTGCAGTACGGAGCAGGTATCATGTTGCTGCTAGGATCAGTTGGGAAGTTCACCGCTCTGTTCGCCTCGTTACCAGACCCGATCCTCGGAGGAATGTTCTGCACACTGTTCGGTGAGTCCCGGTCACTCCTGGTGAAATGTGTCATGATCGGTGAGTCCAGGTGTGCTTTAGGTAGGACCAGTGTTAGGGATGTAGTAATGACACAGGTGTATTAGGGATGTAGTAATGACACAGGTGTATTAGTGATGTAGTGATGACACAGGTGTGTTAGTGATGTAGTGATGACACAGGTGTGTTAGTGATGTCGTGATGACACAGGTGTGTTAGTGATGTCGTGATGACACAGGTGTGTATGTGATGTAGTAATGACACAGGTGTGTTAGTGATGTAGTAATGACACAGGTGTGTTAGTGATGACACAGGTGTGTTAGTGATGTAGTAATGACACAGGTGTGTTCGTGATGTAATGATGACACAGGTATGTTAGTGATGTAGTGATGACACAGGTGTGTTAGTGATGTAGTGATGACACAGGTGTGTATGTGATGTAGTAATGACACAGGTGTGTTAGTGATGTAGTGATGACACAGGTGTGTATGTGATGTAGTAATGACACAGGTGTATTAGTGATGTAGTGATGACACAGGTGTATTAGTGATGTCGTGATGACACAGGTGTGTTAGTGATGTCGTGATGACACAGGTGTGTATGTGATGTAGTAATGACACAGGTGTGTTAGTGATGTAGTAATGACACAGGTGTGTTAGTGATGGAACAGGTGTGTATGTGATGTAGTAATGACACAGGTGTATTAGTGATGTAGTGATGACACAGGTGTATTAGTGATGTCGTGATGACACAGGTGTGTTAGTGATGTCGTGATGACACAGGTGTGTATGTGATGTAGTAATGACACAGGTGTGTTAGTGATGTCGTAATGACACAGGTGTGTTAGTGATGGAACAGGTGTGTATGTGATGTAGTAATGACACAGGTGTGTATGTGATGTAGTAATGACACAGGTGTGTTAGTGATGTAGTGATGACACAGGTGTATTAGTGATGTAGTGATGACACAGGTGTGTTAGTGATGTCGTGATGACACAGGTGTATTAGTGATGTAGTGATGACACAGGTGTGTTAGTGATGTCGTGATGACACAGGTGTGTATGTGATGTAAAAATGACACAGGTGTGTATGTGATGTAGTAATGACACAGGTATGTTAGGGATGTAGTAATGACACAGGTGTATATGTGATGTGGTAGTGACACAGGTGTGTATGTGATGTGGTAATGACACAGGTGTGTATATGATGTGGTAATGACACAGGTGTGTATGTGTGTTTCAGGTATGATCACAGCCGTCGGTCTGTCTAACCTGCAGTTTGTGGATTTGAACTCGTCCAGAAATCAATTTGTTCTCGGGTTCTCAATGTTCTTTGGTCTGACTCTGCCCAACTACCTTGACAGACACCCCCAGACAATTCATACAGGTGAGTCTGTGTGTGTTTCTGTGTGTTTTGTGTGTTTATATAATCAATTTCTGATTACTGTTGATACCCACAAAGTAACAACAAGGAAACAAACTTTGTTCTTCAAAATAAAACAAATAATAGATCTGAAATAGATCAGGTATGATGGATCAGGTACGACATAGATCAGGTCTGACATAGATCAGGTCTGACATAGATCAGGTACGACATAGATCAGGTCTGACATAGATCAGGTCTGACATAGATCAGGTACGACATAGATCAGGTACGACATAGATCAGGTGTGACATAGGTCAGGAGTGATGGATCAGGTATGACATAGATCAGGTGTGACATAGATCACGTCTGACATAGATCAGGTATGATGGATCAGGTACGGCATAGATCAGGTCTGACATAGATCAGGTACGACATAGATCAGGTCTGACATAGATCAGGTATGATGGATCAGGTACGACATAGATCAGGTCTGACATAGATCAGGTATGATGGATCAGGTACGGCATAGATCAGGTCTGACATAGATCAGGTACGGCATAGATCAGGTCTGACATAGATCAGCTACGACATAGATCAGGAGTGACGGATCAGGTATGACATAGATCAGGTGCGACATAGATCAGGTCTGACATAGATCAAGTGCGACATAGATCAGGTCTGACATAGATCAGGTGTGGCAGATCAGGTATGACATAAATCAGGTCTGACATAGATCAGGTATGACAGATCAGGTCTGACATAGATCAGGTACGACATAGATCAGGTATGACATAGATCAGGTCTGACATAGATGAGATACGACATAGATGAGGTATGTTTTGTGTTTCCAGGTGTTGCAGAGCTTGATCAGATTCTGACGGTTCTTCTTTCCACTGAGATGTTTGTTGGAGGGTTTATGGCATTTTGCCTTGACAACACAATACCAGGTAACACACATACACACACACACACACACACACACACACACACACACACACACACACACACACACACACACACACACACACACAAACAAACACACACTCAGACACACACTCTCACACAAACACACACACTCATACACACACACAAGCACATGGATCATTTAACACAAGCATCTAAATTTATGTGATTACTGATTTAAGCACAACATGTGTGCACTTGTGTGTGTGTTTGTGTGTGTGTTTCTGTTCTCCAGGGTCCCGACAGGAGCGAGGTCTGGTTGACTGGACCGCTGTTTCCTCTAGCTCCTCATCCTATGACCTTCCCTTGGGGATGGGTTTAGTGCGGCGAACTGGCTGGCTCAGACGGTTTCCCATCAGCCCCTCCTTCAAAGGTTTCCGGGCTTGTGAGGGGGAGGGGGAGGGGGAGGTTGAAGCTGCTGACATCACCCAGTGCAGCACCAAGGTGTGACTGTTATGTCATCATCAGTGGACGTCCACTGGGCGGGAATCAAACCTGTGATGTCTTTTTTCTGGAATGAAGTTTCTACAGGTGATGCTGCGTTCAATGACCCTCAGATAAAAACCGTGGATTGTGTTTGATGCTGATTTCCAGAGACTTACTGAGGTCAACAGCTTAACCCACTTTAAATGTAATATTGAATTTTAAATGTGAATAATGAGTAACACACACATCCAAATCAAGATCCATGATAATATTTACTACATGAAACTGAATTATAAGTCAGAAATGTCTGATCTCTGATAAAAATGTTGTTAGGGTCAGAACCAATTGAAAGAGGAGAAACTTCAACGAGCCAATCACAGCTGAGTGTGATGTCACAACTAGATGACCATAGAGGATATTACATCCACAGTGGAGCTGTGTGCAGCATATCTTCTTCAAGAGTCTCTACTAATAGTTACAACTGTTGTGATCAGCACGTCCTATGTTACCATGGAAACCTAAAGCTACTTGAAGCATATCCCAGACTGACTGCTGAAAATGTTTCTAAGGAAACTGTCGATGTTCATGACTTTTCTATAAGTCAAAAATAAAAAAGTGTTTTTATAATCAGTGTGATCAATTCAATGTGTTGACTTTCAGTAACAAACGATCACGTGAGGGTAACCCTCAATGCTAAGATTTCCAGTGCGGAGCGTGAACTGGTTTCCAGTCTCAAACCACCAAATGAACAGTAAAAACATCAAATTCAAAATGTTAAAAATCAAAATGACTTCATGATCTCTTTTCCTTTTTTATTTGTTCTTGTTTACAGTTTATCTGGAAATAAACAAACATTACATCCTTGTTGTCCTGCATCATCACAGAATCATAACGGACATTCAGCTTCTATCTGCTCTCGTGCTCGAGGTTCAAACACTGTGTACAAAAGTGTGCAAAATTAAAATCAAACAGTGATAAACAAGAAGACAGGAGTTCATCTCAATACGAATCAATAATCAAATAAACATGATCAAACTGGCTGTCCTAAAGCATGACTGGGATCAGATAATGTAGATACTCCTGAAACCTAAAAGGTCCAAGCTGCAGTTTACCTGCCTGCTAGCTACATGCTGTCCATACTGTCTTCATACCTGCAGAAACATCCTGAAACACTCTGCATAGAGCGTCATGTGTGAACACAAACAGCTGAATGTTTCTGTCTTCACCCGGTGTTTCTCCTCCAGCCTCCTCGTATTTATTCTGCAGAAAGTCAGAGTGAGCTGATGTGAGAACGCAGCAGGATATAATCAGGAGAATTCACCTGGAGCGAGTGGGAGGGGGTGGTGATGTTTATTCCCTGTGATCGCTGCACGACCATAGACTGTCTGCACGCCACCTCTACCATCTCTGTGCTCTGATGAACCTGCTGCATTATGTTACCTGTTCTCCAGTATGTTCTTCTCCACTCTATAGTTCAAATTGGGATTCTGGTCAACTACATGTAGCATATAAAGACACATATTCTCATTATAGAGTTGTATAGACGACTCTGTTACTGCGTACGACACTTCAAGTCGTTCTTTTACGTCATGTCAAACCTGTGATGTCATCATACATGCTTAAAATGCTGTAATGACATCATATTTAACATGCTGTGATGTCATCATACATGTTTAACATGCTGTGATGTCATCATGGTGCAGTCGGTGTGGAGTTTACTGATGGGGTGTGGGGGAGGGGAAGTGGAGGCGGGGAGAGGAATGAAAGGAGGACATAGCCATTGTTGGCTGCAAATGCATCATAGACATGAATGTGGGGGTGGGATTTATTAAGGAGGGACCAGGGTTGAGCATTATGGGGGTGGGGTTTATTAAGGAGGGACCAGGGTTGAGCATTATGGGGGTGGGGTTTGTGCTGCACATTGGAACCAGGCTGGAGTTTTGGGTGGGGCTTGATTTAGGAATAAGCACATGGACATATTGACCAGTTTCTGGATCCAGCAGCATCTTCCTCTGATGTGTAGGGGGTGTGTCCAAAAGTAAGCACCTCCCACTTCTAGGGTCAAACATAAAGTGACAGTGGGGGTAGCCACTGAGAAGGGCCCTGGGTGCAGCAGCAGAACCTGTGATGTCAGCCATGAAGTCACTCCCTGTCTGTGTATGTAACACCCCATTAAGGTTACACAAATACTTCTGCTGCGGAAGTTGTTGTTGAAGTTGTTGCTGAGCATGCTGTTGGTCATGTTTCCCCTGTGATGTCGGCGTCACAGTGCTGCCCTCACTCACCTGGGCCACTGACGAGCCAGGCTGTTGAGGTGGGCAAAAGTGTTCCGAATAGTCTGGGGAGTTTTGAGGTGACCGGGTCTCTTCAGACCTCCTCAGCAGGTGACAGGTGGGAGCAGGTTGAGGGTGTTGCAGATGGATGTAGCTCAAGGGGCCACTCACATAGCTAACCTTCCCCATTTGTGGTTGTAGGGTGTGAGAATAAACGGGTAAAACCTGGGCTGGGTAGAAACAGGGTTGGAGGATCTGCTGTGAGGAACTTGGGGCAAAGTGAGAGGACAGGCCGAGGATGGAGCTCTGCTCCTGGGAAGAGGGAGTAGTCTGGGTCTCCTGCTGCTGGAGGAGCATGGAGGGGGGAGGGGGAATTAATAAAGAGGCAGGGATGGAGGCCTCAGCCTGGTGACTCCCACACTTAGCTCTCTCTGATTGGCTGAGCTCTGATAAGTTTCTGCTGACAGGTGGTTTGGTGGGTTGGTCTAACAAAACAATGGGGCAGGTGACATCATCAGCCTTACTTCTTATTACTGGCTCACTGCCTCTTCTCTGCTGTGTGATTGGAGGACTGAAATATTCACTTTGATGTCTATCCTGTGATTGGCTGAGAGATGCAGCGACTTTTGCTACACGTCCTCTGGAGGAGTTGCTGTTAACTGAAGCCTGACTGCTTTTCTTTGTTTCATTGTGACCCACACCCACGACCTGCTGGTAGGTGGGCGGGGGACTCTGCTCCTGACCAATCACCTTGACGCGTGTTGGCTTGTAGTGGTTCTCAGGTGTTGTAGTGGAGAACGACAGGCCGTAGGTGGTTTTAACTAAACTCCTCATGTCTCTCACCACATGAACTGGAGCTTTAAATACACCTGCACCTGTCTTACCCCAGGAAAGCTGGTCTCCCTTCCCCCCCATCACTCACCCGCTGCTGATCTGCAGACTGGGAGAGGCTGGTGAACACTGTTGCTTTCTTCTGCTGGGCGGAGCCCTTACAGGTGATTTTCTCCACCTGCATCTTCTTTGAAAGGATGCTCTTAATGATACAGGAAGCCATCTTTGTTTTAGTTTCAGTTTCATCCAAAGAGAAGGACTTCTGCAGCCGCAGCCTCGAGGTTCCTCCACCATCGATCCCTACAGACAACGACAAAGAGGTGAACAAACAACAACCAGGTAGATAAACAATGAGCAGGCAGACAAACAATGACCTGGGGCCTGTACTACGAAGCCAGATTAACAGACCCAGGGTTTCTGTGGGTCCAGCTTCACTAACCCTAACATCAGAGACCATGATTAACACTCATACGAAGCCGGTTATCAACCTGATAATTAACCCTCAAGTTTCCAAGAGGGCGTTCACATAAAAGGGGCGGAGTTAGCTTCATATAGCCTATCACAATCAAAACTGTGTCTGCTGTCAGCAGATCGTCATATCTAACAAACTCTGAACAAACTATATTAATAATATAAAGAGGTTTAAAACAAACCCGGACACTAAAGTTACACAACTGCAGGAACAAATGCAGGAAAAACAACTGGCATCAGAGAGTATCAATGTCCAAACTACAGATTATTATATTTCAGTCCCATCGTTAGTTCACCTTCGAACTGAAGATAATAAACTTTTTTCTCTGAACTGGATGTGTATCTCTGACTGAGCATAGGTTACCATGGCGATATACCCAGGTAATAAGTGAACCACCTAACCACCCAGAGTTAACCCTGAGTGACCTCGCTAACCCCAAATCCTGCTTCATAGTCCAGGCCCCTGGTGAGAACACAACCGGAAGAAAAAAAAGGTAAACTCAACTAAATTAAATTAAAAAATGTTATTTGTGTGGCAATTGAAGGGCACACAGAGCAGTAAATGAACGACAGTGCAGGTAGAGTAAAAATGTAAACCAAAAATATAAAATATATATAAGTGACGATTTAAATACAAAAGTTAGAGTGCTCCAGGTCAACACCTCTGCTTGCGCAACAAGCAAATTGGAGCGGGTCCATCTGGGAGTCAGTTGCTTTGATGATGTGGTGTTTTATGATATTCTCCATGGAGAGGTGAGGGCCGATGGGGATTATTGGGGACTGTGCTGCTGTCCATGGATCTCTGAAACAGGGTCTGAAACATGCCTCCTGGCTGCTCAGTGTGGCCACTGATGCTGTCTGGACCAGGTGAGCTGCTCTCCCTTGTCCTCCTGAGGGCGCTCACCACATCCTCTCTGTTGAAGGTGAGTGCAGAGTCACTGGGCTGGAACATGGACACTGTTTCTTCCAGCTGGGTGGTGTTGTCCTTCTCAAATCTTGTGACGAATGAGTTGAGATCATTGGGAAGAGATGAGGGGCTACCGCCTGCAACCTGGATGATTTTGTTGTTGGTAGCAGGAGTGTTCACAGCAGCCATGTTTTTGAGGCCCTGCCAAGCTGAGCGGAGGTTCCCCTGTGTGAATTTTTCCTCCATTTGTTTTATACTTTAGTTTGACAGTTTTTATGGCATGCTTCACTTCTTTGTTAACCTCCTTTTTCTCCATTTTGGAGCCGGTGAAGTAGACCCTTTTCTTCTTGTTGAGGATCACCTTGAGCTCTTTGGTGATCCAAGGTTTATTGTAGGTGAAGATTGTGACTGTTTTGGAGGGGATGATGTTGTCCACACAGAAGGAGATGTACGATGAAACAGTGTCCACATGCTCTTTAATGTTGTCTGAGGGGACAAGAAGGTTATTCCAGTCAGTGGATTCAAAGCATCCTTGTAGTGTAAGAATGCTTTCGTTGGTCCACTGCTTGATGTTCTTAACAACTTTCTTAGCCCTCCTAATAACCGGAGTATATGCTGGAGCAAGCAGGATGGCATGGTGGTCAGTAGAGCCAAGAGGGGGGAGAGCGACAGATCTGTATGCGTTTGGAACTGAACCATAGCATTTATCCAGTGTCTAATGTACTGATGATAACCTTTCAGTGATCTTTCCGGAGTGCAGTAGTTGAAATCGCCCAGGATGAATTTGGGAGAGTCCGGTGATATATGTTCCAGTTTATTTAATAAGTTTGTGAAGTGGTCAGTGGCTGCGTTAGCGTTAGCTCTGGGGGGAAACTCTCTGGGGAGATAGAAAGGGCGAAGGGAGACAGCCAGAATCTCGATGTCTGAAGTGCACAGTTTCTCCCTCACGCCGATCGTCGAGCACCAGCATGTGTTTACATAAAGCCACACGCCGCCGCCATCTTGTTTCCCAGTAAGCTCACTGTCTCAATCAAGTCTTTAAGGTCCCATATTATGCTTTTTCTGGTTTTAGATGCTCTTTAGTGTGTTTTCCAAGTGTCCTGTGCATGTTTATGCTCATCTATTTGCAAAAATTCAAAGTCTGCGTAAACGCAAACGTCCTCCTGTTAGCTGCAGCATTAGCTGCATGTAACGCTCGGTTCTAGCCCCCTTCGAAAAAAATTTGCCAGTGTGACGTCTTGTCAGTGTGATATCACTGATCTAAGCCCATTGGCTCGTTGTGGCAAGCCCAGCAGCTCATGTTGCAAGCCCGTTAACTTCTGTAGCACGCCCACGATATGCCGTAGCCTGCGGTAGCACAGTAGTGCTAAGGTGCTAATGTTTATGCTCCTCTCTGAGCCAAAGTGGCTGCATTCCCAATATGGTAAAAGGGGAGGGACATTTCCTGTGCTGAGCGACTGACCAATTACGGCAGAGCAGACAGGCTGACCAATCAGATCAGACTTGGCACACGTGGGGACTCTGAACGTGGGCACTTCAGATCCTTAGAGAGAGAGTCAGAAGCGAGCCAGTGCATGGAGCGGCAGTCATGAAAACAGACACTTTTTTCGTACTTTAGCTATTGTGAACATACTTTAGTAGGTACATAGATTAAATATATGAACCCTAAAAGGGCATAATATGGGCTCTTTAAAGGGGGGGGCGAAGCCGTCAAAGTGCAGTGTGTTATCATTGTCGTTCTTATTTAACCACGTCTCAGTAAAAGCAAGAACAGAGGCAGTCCTGTTCTCATGCAGCAATCTATCTATCGATCCAACTGGTTTATTACCTTGACTGGCCCCTGCAGCGAGGCCCCTGCAGACCCTGTAGCTGTCAGCATCACTGCTGGTTTGGAGGGAGGCAGGCATACTGTGCTGTCGCCGCAACACATCAGGACGCACAGGTGGACACAGCATCTCACAGTAAGCCCCTCCCCCTTCACATGACCCATTTGGAGGTTTCACCTAAATGTGTAAACAGACCCACAAGTTTATGGACAGACAGACGGATAGACAGATTAACTGACAGGTGGAAAGACACATAGGCAGCGTCTACCATCAGTGTGTGAATGTGTATGAATGGATGAGTTAATACTGATGGACTCTTTACACAGCAGCCTCTACCATCAGTGTTTGGATGTGTAGGTGGGACACGTGGTGAAAAAGCGATTTGAGTCATCAGAAGTCTAGAAAAGCACTATACAAGTTCAAGTTCATTTAAATGTACAGACAGATTGACAGACTGACAGACAGACAGATTTGAACCTGAAGTTTTTCTGCGTTTTTTACATCTTTCTTCTTTAGTTGAATCTGTCGTTTGGGAACCATCTTTAGTCCCTCCCCCTTCTGACCTTGAACCTTTACGACCAGTAACAAATGAGAGCACAGAACACGAACTATGAAGGAACAAAGTGATTTTATTGGCCAACATAAACATAATGAAGTTTTTTTATTGACTCACAGGATCCTAACTGTTTCATCACCATGGAGACAGATTAACTTGCTTGTGAATTGTTAAACTGATCAACCGACCAGTTATTTCGCTCGTCAGTTACCAGTAAAACTCACCAGTGTTTCCATCGTAATGTCGATGCACTCGAAGCCGCTCTCTGGGTCTGATTCCTCGTCATCTGATCGGAGGATGACAGAGGGAGCGAAGTGGAGTGAGAGATCCTCCTCAGACCAGTCGCTGACACTTCTCTCTTCCTCTTCGTCCTCCTCTTTGTCGAAGCCACAGCTGGGGGAGACATCAAAGTAATTTGTCTCAGAATCACCTGTACAGGTGAACCTGGAGCTCCTCTCAGCAGGAACAAGTGAACATGGTGGAGGGTCATGTGTCACAAAGTCGTGATGAGGCAGAGCATCGACTTCAGGGCAGCGATGAGAGCTGAGGAAGATCAGCTTCTCCCCTCCTCGGTCCATGATTGCCTCTAATAACAAGACAACACACACGCACATGCACACACACACACACACACACACACACACACACACACACACACACACACACACACACACACACACACACACATTGTTGAGTTAGAGGGTGTTACCTCTGATGTATTACAAACATACAGGGTTATGTCAGGTAAAGGCACTAAGGGTTAGGGGGGCACCTCAAGGTTGGGTTCTGGGCCCACTTGTATTTACTTTCTATATTTATTGCTTTGGACAGAATGTTCCAAATTCTTCTTTTTATCTTTATGCTGATGATTCTGTTATTTCCTGCTGTGCAGCTATATCAGCTCTCTCACATCTTTAACATGCATTTGATCAGGTACACGAGCAGCTGTTTCAGCTGTAACTTCTCTAAATGCAGACGAAACCAAACATGTGTTCTGTGTATCATCAAGGACGGCTAAAGAAATCTTTCCAAGAATATTCTTACAAAAGAGGGTAGAGAAATAGAGTTGGTATCTTCCTTAAAATATTTACTTCAGGCAGCACGTTCAGTATGTTCATAAACAGCTGAAGCTTTTATTTTGATTTTAGTACAGAAATTAGTTTGTTTGCTTCCACCATCTTACCTGTCCTTAATTATCATCATGTACTATACATGAATGCCTCTGCTCAGAGTCTAACTATGTTGGACCATAGATTATACATATATATATATATATATATATATATATATATATATACTGTATATAGACAGTCTCACCTGGATCAATAATTATTAAACAAAGAAATACAATATTAATGAATGTCTATAAAAACAGCTGTGATCACATGATTTTAGGATGGTTCTCACCCACAACTGTTCTGATCAGCACCCCGACCAGGACCAGGACCAGGATCAGGACCAGGATAAAAACAGAATCCGATCAGAGGTCAATCCTCAGAGTTGTTATGGAGATCTGCCACTGGTTGATGGTAGACAAGGTTTTACTCTGGGTCCAGGTCCAGTCTGCCTGTTGGTCCTGTCGTTTTCAGTGATCCACGGTTACAGGAACTTTAAAGGTATCTGAGTTTTTCTCTGTTGGTAAAAGTTTGACGGTCTTTAGTTTTGGTCCCAGAACAGTATTGGGGGATCTACACCAAATGTACTAACTGCATGAGAGAGGTGGTGGTGGTGGTGGTGGGGGGGGGGTGTTGGTGACAGACTGCAGGCTCAGATAGAGGAGTGAATGGTCGAGAGACATAAACGGAAAGAGAGAGAGAGAGAGGTATCAGGCCGCAGGTTTCTATTTTAGGAGGTGATTGACAGACAAGGCTGCAACATGTGGTGTGTGTGTGTGTGTGTGTGTGTGTGTGTGTACATTTAGCCGTTTATGTGTAATTTGTGTAACAAGCTGTTGCAATGGTGACAACTGAAACTCTACTGCTCTACTGAGACTACATCCATGTTTTATACAGACAGTGATAAACATGATGTACAGGAAGTGATCATACCCTGTCAGAATAAAAACACGATTTACATGAAGTGATCAGACCCTTTCAGAATAAAGTAAGTTGATAATCATGAACTAAAGATGGCAGCAGCGTGGAGAGGCAGGCTGGTAGGTGCTGCTGTTCTTTAAAACTCTTCAGTTATGACCAGATCAGATTCCCGCTGTGCTGTTCACACTATTGCTGCTACTGATTCTTGCACTATCTGTGCATGTCTGTTTGTGAACACTGATCACCTCTGCCATGCAAGTCAGCAGGATCACCACACGTCCCGACTGTGTGAAAACTGTCCACATACTGTTAAAATACAAATCACTGGACACCAGTGAACCGCCGCCCCATTTATAAAGATACCTGGCTTCATCTAAATCCTGGACCAGGAGTACAGTATGACTACAGCGCTGACATCCATCTGAGTCTCCTGGTTATCTAGTTAAAAACAACCATTATTCTTCTGAAATCTAAACGGCCCCGTTGACAATACCGGCAGTCTGCTTATAGGTCTATGCTGGTTTCGTGATGGTCTCCAGAAAGATTGGAGTCCCACAGCTTGTTTACAGGCGTTAAAATGTTCTGTTGAAACGTAAACTGTAAAACGTTTTGTCTTTATTTTGTTGACGTGTTATCAGCGTCTCTGTGGTCTGCGTCTGAACAGTCAACATCACTATCTCACTCTGGGATTATTATAGCCCACTCAGTTCTTTATGATGTTTTTCTGTTTCTGTCATTTCTGGTCCACACTCCTGACAAGAAGAAGCAGAAGAAGTAACTCACCACCATTAAACAAGCAGCAGAAGAATAAAAGAGGACAAAGCTAAATATCAGAACTCTGGCAGAAAGAATGGAATGAGGACAGTAACGACAGATCATACAAAAAAACAATCAAGAAAGAGTTAAAGGAAGAAAATGAAGAGAGGATGAAGTTTGACCACACTGTTTTAACATACAAACAAAAGTAAAATGTATTTAAAAACTCTTTGTGATGCATCGTGGAGCCCTGCTAAACACTCCGGGACAGCAGGTGGCGCTACACACCTTTAAACGAGGATTACAGTCCGCCAAAAGAAAACAAAGAATAAGAAGAGTGACTGATTGCAGGTCTGCTTCTGTTCTCCTGGAGGATCTTTACTGGTTTCTCTGGGCTGTCCTGGTCTGTTCTGGTCCTGGATCAGATGCCTGGGTTTCAGTGTCCAGGTTCGGAGGTAAATTTAGCCTTTGTTTGTTTTGCTCCATGACGCCGGTGTTACGATGTGTCCGTGTTAACTCTTTATGGGATTTAAAGCTGTTTGTGACCGTTAATCGCCGAGTTTCGGTTTCGGTTTTTAATAAAACTGACTCACTGAGTTCCGCTTTATTCCCATCATACCGTGTTTCTTCTTTTAAGGACTGTTAGCCTGTGCGCTAAGCAGTTAGCTTCACTGCGACAGCTGCTTTCCGGCAAACAGATTATGACGTCAGCGCGGAGGCGGAAGAGAGAGAGAGAGAGAGCAAACTGCGCAACGTTAATCAGATCCGCTGAGTCGATAACTTATCAATAACCAATAACAGAAACCTCGCTGTGACGTCAGAGGGAGATGAGACGCACAGGCGCAGAACTACGGATCAATTTCAGCCCAGGCCGCGTGCAGCTGGTTCAGGTAAACACTCACCTGTGCAAAGCTAACAGTGCTAACAGGCTAACTAGAGCAGGTCTAAAAACTGTCATAATGTAATGTGCTTGTTTTGATATGAATGTCAATAAGAAGATTATATATCCGGCAGTGACGTCATCCATATGATAATTATTTTTAATACGTTTTTTTAAATAAGATTCGATATCAAGAGTCATTAGATTCATTAATCTGTTATGAACAGATTCTCACAGAACTCTAAACAACCTGGTGGTGCTGATAACGCTCTACACCTGTACTCTCTAGGGGTGTAACGGTACACAAATATCGGTTCGGTATGGTTCCAAGTTTTGAAGCTTCGGTTCGGTACAGTAAAGGGACCTCATGCAACACTTTACACCTTTACACCCCTAGTACTCTCTACACCTCTACTATCTACACCTCTACTATCTACACCTGTACTATCTACACCTCTATTATCTACACCTGTACTCTCTACACCTGTACTCTCTACACCTGTACTATCTACTCCTGTACTCTCTACACCTCTACTATCTACACCTGTACTATCTACACCTCTACTATCTACACCTCTATTATCTACTCCTGTACTCTCTACACCTCTACTATCTACACCTGTACTCTCTACACCTGGACTCTCTACACCTGTACTATCTACTCCTGTACTCTCTACACCTGTACTCTCTACACCTGTACTATCTACTCCTGTACTCTCTACACCTGTACTCTCTACACCTGTACTATCTACACCTGTACTATCTACTCCTGTACTCTCTACACCTCTACTATCTACACCTGTACTATCTACACCTCTATTATCTACTCCTGTACTCTCTACACCTGTACTATCTACACCTGTACTATCTACACCTGTACTATCTACTCCTGTACTCTCTACACCTCTACTATCTACACCTGTACTATCTACACCTCTATTATCTACTCCTGTACTCTCTACACCTGTACTATCTACTCCTGTACTC